TCCAACGCCGGTACAGTCTGCGCTCGAACAGTGGGGGCGAGAACAGCCAGCAGCCCCGACTCTCCGCGTGCGCCCAGCTAAGCATGCATGCATGTATGTATGCATAGAGCTGAGTGTTAACGCTGTCCCATGCATGCATACATATCCTATCGTTGCTTCTTGGTGTCTCTGGCGGAGGCCTGAATTATATCTCGTCGATACACCGGAAATTGCATGGTGAGTCTGCACGGCACTCAGCTAAGCTGCTGGGGCTTTTCATACAGCAGCTGTTCCTGCTGCTGCAACACTTCTTGCTGCTGCAGCATCCGCTCCAGCTCCTATATAGCCTATCTTGTCTCTGCTACGATCGAAAGAGAGGCTAATGAATGTAGAGAGATGGGCCAGATGCAGCAAAAGCAGCAAGGCAACGGGCTGTATATCTTCAGCAGCAGGAACATTGGCTTCACTTGCAGCTACAGCTAGCAACGCAGCAGCTGTTACCACCGTTGCAACCGGTGTTCCTGCTGCGCGGGTGGGGGGTATCAGCTCAAACGCGCCCAAAGGATTTACTCTTCTGCTGCGGCTGCATGCAACTGATAGATCATCTAAGCAGAGGGTCCCGCAAGCGTAAGCACATGACTGCATCCATGCATAGAAGCTAGCTACAGACAAATGCTTATAGGGCTGCATGCATGCATAATAACTAGCTGCAACCTAACGTGTATATAAATGCATGCATGATCACTACCTGCATCCTAATTTGTACAGGCAGCAGTGCATGTACAATGCTAATAGCTGCATGTATAATAATAACCGGATGCAACCTACCGTTTGCATGGCTGCATGCATGCATACTAGCTAGTTGCAGCAAAAGGGGTATAGCATGGATAATATCTGGTTGCATGCGTTGAACTCCTTCTAGAAGACTATCGATTGAGTTGTTAATGTATTGGCTTCGTCTGCTATTACATTAAGACGAAACAGAATAACCCAGTCAGAGCAGCAGCAGTAGCTGTAGCTGCAGGCCGCTGCTCCAGGCGTGTGTAATGCTGCTAAAAATGTTGTAACCCTACCCGCTGCTGCACCTGCTGCTGCTGCTGTTGCTGCTGCAGTTGCTACTGTTTTTTTCCCTTCTTGCCTTCGGTAGCGGCGTCTAAGCCATACAGGGGGATGAAGGCATCCTAGGCCTCCNTTTTTTTCCCTTCTTGCCTTCGGTAGCGGCGTCTAAGCCATACAGGGGGATGAAGGCATCCTAGGCCTCCTATGAGGCGTATTAAGTACATTAAAATGCAAAAAAAAACTCAAGAAACAAACACTAATTAAGAAGTGTATATACACTTCAGCTGTTTGCTGCAGTGCTCGGCTCATGGGGCCCCCCAGCAGCAACCGCTGCTGCTTTCTGGCGGCGGCAGCAGCAGCAGCAGCGCGTCGCTGCTGCTCCTCTTCTGTAGACCTTATTTTATTTTTTGACAAGCCCCTTAGAGGAGGAACTTCTGGGGCTGAGTTGCTTTATTCAGAGACAGTGTGTAGCACTTGCTGCTGCTGCTGCTGCTGCTGCAAGAGCCCTCTTGTGAGCAGCGGTGCTGCTGCGGCTTCCTGGTTTGCTGCTGCAGCTGCAGCAGCAACTCGTTACTGTCCCTCTTACGTTTGTATGGCCTCCGCGTGACTGAAGAGGAACCCTTGAACCTGTTGCAGCGCCGCTGCTGCTGCTGCTGCTACAAGCTGCAGCGTCTACATCTTCTGCTGCTGCAGGTGTGCTGCATCGCCACTGAGATGTCTACATACTCACCAGGCCCCACAGTAATTGTTGAAGGGCAGCGGACTCTTTGCACTGCAGCGGCAGCGGCAGCGCCAACAGCACAGAGGTGAAGAAGGACAGTGGCAGCAACAGCAGCAACAGCAACAGCAGCAACAACAGCAACAACAGCAGCAACAACAGCAACAGCAGCAGCAAGAACGACGACAAAGCAAAACACTGCATACGTGGTGAAGGCCGTAGAGTTGCTTCTGCTGCTGCTTAAACTAGAGGCACAGACATATTTTCTCTTAGAATACATACGATGGAACGGCGGGAGAAGGAGCAGCAGCAGCAGCAGCAGCAGCAGCATTCGCAGCAAGATCGTGCTGCCGCAGAGCGAGCTGTTGGAGATGCGCCTGACGAGCGTTCTGCATCTGCCTCACGGGCTTCTCCTTCAGCTGCAGCAGCAGGAGCAGCATCAGCAGGAGCAGCAGCAGCAGAGTGCAGCAAGGAGGCGCTGCTGCGTGACCGGCGTCAGCAGCAAGCGTTGCTGACGCCTCTCTCTGGGGACCCGAAGTGCCCGCTGCTGCGGGACCTGCAGCAGCAAGAGCTGGTGAGGCAGCACACCTTCGATGACACCATAAGGCCTAAGCAGCAGCAGAAGCAGCCTTCAGGGCCCCTGTCTCTCTTCTCGCGCTCCTCATCAGACGCACCACACCAGCCTGCACATACAGCTGGCAGGTGGAGACAGGTCAGTTTTGCTGCTGCTGCTGCTGCTGATGCTACTGCTGCTGATTTTGCTGCTGCTGTTGCAGTAGTGATGCGGTGAGCGGCGGTGGTGGTGGTGCAGCTCCCGCGGCTGTTTACTACGGTGTTGCTGCTGTTGCTGCTGTTACACTTCTGTTGAGCATTGCTGACCCATGCATCCGGTGCTGCTGCAGCTGCTGCAGCTGCTGCCGCCGCCGCCCCAGCAGCAGCTGCTGCTGGATTTGCTGCTGCGTTGAGCCTTTTGCCTTCCCGTTGCCTCCTGCCTGAGGCCCTCCAGGTAGCAGCCGCTGTTGCAGCAGCAGCAAACGCAGCCGGAGCAGCAGCAAGAGTTAGTATAGAAGTAATGGCTTGGTGTATTGCGGATGGCTGTTGCCGCAGGCGTCGCTCTCGAAGACAGAGGAGGAGCTGCTTGCTGCTGGCCTCACCACCATGGAGGACCTCAGCCCCGAGCAGGCTGCTTCGATAGCAGCAGAAATGCGGGCGCATGCGAGGCAGCAGCAGCAGATGCAGCAGCAGCAACAGCAGCAGCTGCAGCAACAGCTACAACAGCAACAGCAGCTGCAAATCAGCGGAGCCATAAAATCAGCTGCACCCGCCGGATTGCATCCTCTACATGCCGATGCACACGTTGCTGCTGCTGCTGCTCCTGTGGGTGCTCCTGCTGCTGCTGCTGCTGCTGGGGGCTGGGGCGCTGCGGACGGCCCCACAGTCCTGAGAGAGGTCCGCTCTGGACGGCTGCATGGGGAGACATCCGATGAAGAGACAGCAGCAGCAGCAACAGCAGCAGCTGCTGCTGCAGCTGCAGGAGACCAGCAACGGAGCAGAACCACCCAGGATCAGCAGGCGCGGCGGCAGCAGCATCAGCAGCAGCAGCAGCAGCAGCAGCATGAAGGGGAGTCTGAGGAGCAGAAGTGCGAGCGCATTGCGGCATCGATCCGTTTTCAGGCGGAGGCAGACCTCAGCAAGCGCCGGGCAGAGTGAGTGCTGTCTCTCTGTTGATGTTATGGCTTGCACATGTAGCTGCAGCAGCAGCAATCGCAGCAGCAATAGCAGCAGCAGCTGCTGCAGCAGCAGTAGCGTCAGTAGCAGCAGCAATAGCAGCACTAACAGCAACAGCAGCAGCAATAGTGTCAGCAGTAGCAGCAGCCGGATAAGCAGCAGCAGCACCACCGCCAGTAGCATCAACGGCAGCAGCAGCACCATGAGCCGCGTCAGCGTCAGCAGCAGCAGCAGCAGCAGCAGGGCCTGCACCGAGTGAATATGCTTCTGTGTACTGCATGCAGGATGGCGGCTTTGCGTGAGGATGCTGAACGCCAGCTGCTGTCTCTGCAGCTGCTGCCGCCGCAGCACGAGCGGCTGTCTTCGTTGCCTGCATCGTTTAGAGAGGCCCTCTTTGGGGTTTTTGTTTGTCTCTGCTTGAGGCATATTGAGGAGTAGGGCCGTCTGTCTCGTCTGCTGCTGTTGCTGCTGCTGTTGCTGCTGCTGTTGCTGCTGCTGTTGCTGCTGCTGCTGTTGCTCTTACGGCTGCGGCTGCTGTTCATTGGGGCCCTGTCTCCTTGCGTTTGTTTATCCACAGTTTATATCATCTGTCTCCGTGTCTAGCTGTTGCTCTGCTGTCTCCTTCTGTTGCGGGTTTGTTTTTCGTATTTGGTTCTACTGCCACAGCTGCTCGTGTTGCTTTTGCTGCTGTTTCTGTTGCTATTGTTGCTGTTGCTGCTGCTGCTGCTGCTGCTGCTGCAGGTGTGATGAAGATTTCCGGGGGGAGATAACCACGTGGGCTCTGGGTCTGCTGGAGGCGCTTGCCTCTCCTCACCTGCTGCACTTGGGGGCCCACATCGCCAACTGCCTCAGCAAGCCAATTGCCTGGCGGGAGCAGCTGCAGAAAGATGGTGTTCGGGTCGGTGGTCCCGCTGTTGCTGTTGCTGTTGCTGTTGCTGCTTCTGTTGCTGTTGCTGCTGCGGCTGGGTTTTTCTCCGTATTGCTGGCTTTGCTGTGTCGCACGTTCCTTTGTCTGCATCTGCTGGTGTCTGTGGTGTCGCCGCATGCGGCAACAGCAGTGGGTTGTGGGCTCTGTAGTGCCTGCTCCTCACAGGCAGCTGCTGCCGCAGCAGCAGCAGCAGCAGCAGCAGCAACAGTAGCCTGAGCAGCAGGAGCAGCAGCAGGACCAGTCGTGTGTATGTGTTTGTTTGTGCGTGTGTGTGTATGTATGTGTGTGTGTGTGTGTGTGTGTGTGCTTGTGTGTGTGTGTGTGTATGTGTGTGTGTGTGTGTGTGTGTGTGTGAGAGAGAGAGAGAGAGAGAGGGAGAGAGAGAGTTGTGTTATATTTATGTTTATGTTTGCTGTATATTAGGCGAGCGACATCGTGACGCTGGATCCGCTGATTCACAAGCTGGAGGCTTTCTTTGCTGAGAAGCAGCCAGAGACAGATGAGCTCTTCCGCAGCGTGCAGCAGCGGCTCAGAGCTAGCAGGTCAGCAGAGTCCCCAGCAGACGACGCACTCAGAGACCCCCCAGACGTTCACTCCAGCAGCAGCAGCAGCAGCAGCAGCAACAGCAACAGCAGCAGCAGTGGCTGCGGCAGTGCCGGCGTGGGGAAGGATGCCAGCAGGAAGAACAGCAACGACGCCAGCACCACAGGCAGCACGAGCAGCAGCAGCGGTAGCAGCAGCAGCAGCAGCAGCAGCAGCAGAGACTATTCGCACGGCATGACGTCTGCGAGGGTGAGGGGTGAAGCCACGATGCAGGGTGGAGGATCTCTGTCTGACGCGCGGGAGCAGCAGCAGCACGAACAGCAGCAGCAGCAGCAGCAGCAGCAGCCGGGACTTTCAGCTGCAAGGGATAGAGACAGCAGGATGCGCGCGCTGTTGCAGCCGCCAGCAGCGCCACCAGGAAACACGAATGAGCAGCAGCAGCAACAGCAGCAGCAGAGGGAGGTGCCGGGTGTAGAAGGCTGTAAGGAGACGCCGGCAGAGGCAGGCGGTGAGGACAGCTACTACACCGCTGTGGATGCTGCAGCAGCTGCTGCTGTTGCTGATGCAGCAGGAGATGCTAGCAGCAGCGAACGGCTCGGGGAGACAGCCGAACGCATAGCGCGGGGGGCAGAGGCGGGGGGCCTTGATGCAGCTGCGCAGTCAGCACTGCAGGGTATTGCTGCTGCAGCAAAGCAGCAGCAGCAGCAGCAGCAGAGACAGCAGCAGACCCTTGAAAACATGAACACGCCGCGCTCTGACGCGCAGCAGCAGCGGCGGCAGCAAGAAGGGAACCCGCAACAGCAAATGATGGAACAGCAGGAAGTGCAGCATCCGTCTGAGCAGCAGGAGCTGCAGCAGCAGCAGCTGCAGCAGCAGGGCCAGCAGCTACTTGGGGGTCGTATCAGCAGCATCTCCAGCAGCAGCTGCTGCAGGCACACCGATGAGCAGCAGAAAGCCAACACCGAAGACGAACGCGGGGCCGAGACAGGAGCCCAGTCTCCCAGCCCCCTACAGCAGCAGCAGCGCCACCACCACCAGCAGCAGCGGGAGCAGCAGCAACAGGGGGAGCAGGAGGAGGAGGAGTATGAGCATGAGCATGCGCATGGTCAAGAGCAGCAGCAGCATGAGCCGCAGCAGCAGCAGGAGCAAGGGGACTCATCTGATGCATGCAGCTCGTCTGATGATGAAGGGGGCGCGGGGCCCTCCTCCCTGGCTATGTGGGCCTCAGAGCCCCCAGCATATCGCGTTGTCTTTCTCAGAGAACTCACAACAGCACTCGTCACAAACGGCACATTCGATGCCAGGATACAAATGCTGCTCGACAGGTCTCACCACACGCATCTGCTGCTGCTGCTGCTGCTGCTGCTGCTGNCTGCTGCTGCTGCTGCTGCTGCTGCTGCTGGTGTTGTTGTTGCTGATTGTATTGCTGATGGTCCTACGTGTGCTCCTGATGCTGCTGCTACTGCTGCTGCTTCTACTGCTGCTGCTTCTGCTGCTGCTGCTACCTGTGCTGCTCAAGACACTAATCCCGCCGGCGCTGCTGCTGCTGCTGCAGTGGCTGCTGCGGGTTTGCACGGCATGCTGACTGCGTAGATGCTGTACGCGTTGCTGCAGCAGCGCAGCAGCGCTGCTGTGCTGGGGTGTATATGCATTTCCGTTGGTGGGGTTGCGTGTACTGCGTACAGACTGGCGACAGAACTCCACATCAACCCGCTGCTGCTGATTCGTATCGAAGAGAACCTCGCAGCAGATTTGCTCTCAATACTGCAGGTGAGGAACTGCTGCAGTTAGTGCACATGCAGCAGCAGCAGCAGCAACAGCAGCAGCAGCAGCAGAAGCAGCAGCACTGGAACCAACTGCAAGACCAGGAACAGGAGTAGTGGAACGAGCAGCAGCAACAGGACCAACAGCAGAAACACAAGCACCAGCAGCAGCGGCTGCTGCAGCTGTCGGGTGTCCCGTGCAGCAGCAGCAGCAGCACCACCACCGCCGCCGGCAACGGCAGCAACAGCAGCCGCAGCGGCAGCGACGGCTGTAGACAGCTGCAGCAGCAGCAGCCACAGAGGTTGGTGGAGCCAGCTGCAGCAGCAGCAGTTGAGTTGTGTTTGCTTCTGGCGCTGCAGGCAAACACCAAAGAGGGGTCGAAGCAGAAGACATGGAGGCGCCTGAAGATAGCCGGTGGGTTTCTGCTTTTTGCTGCTGCTGCTGCTGCTGCTGCTTCTCTCTCTGCTTGTCTCTGTTGTTACTGCCTCTGTGGTGCTACACTCTGCTGTCTTACTGCTGCTGCTGCTGCTGCTGCTGCTGCCGGTGTCTCGCCTTACATCGTGGCCTAGGATCCGCTACTGGGGGTTGGGAGGGATTGTTTGCACCCTCATCCGCTGCTTCTGCTGCTGCTGCTTCTGCTGCTGCTGCTTCTGCTGCTGCTGCATCTGCTGCTGCTGCGTTTCCTGCTGCTGCATCTGTTGCTTCCGCATGTTCTACGTCTGCATCTGCTGCTGCTGCTGCTGCATTTGGTGCTGCTTCTGTTTCAGGTGCTGCAGTAGGCGGTGGCGTGCTGCTTGCACTGACAGCGGGGTTAGCTGCACCAGGGATTGCTGCTGCTGTTGCTTCTCTGGGGTCTCTGCCTCTCTCCGCCTTCTTGGCTTCAGCTGGCGGAATGGCGGCTCTCGTATCAATCTTTGGAGCAGGTGGCGCCGGTAAG